TTTCTACATGACAGAAGACGTCTCTGGGTTCTGTCTCCTCCTCCTTCATGTGGTTCTGGTTCCTCAGAGCTGCAGGCCTTGATGTTGGAACATGAGACTGTTGACGGAGCAGAACGTCTGATGATTCTTCTGCTCTTCTTTTCTTCTGGCTGATCAATGTGGTGTCATTCAGGCGACCTTTCATAAAGGAACCATGCAGAGCGGTCCGACTCACCTGTCGTTGGTCACCCCGATCAGACTGATGTTGTTGACGTCCAGAATCAGGTCACCTGACTTAAGCCGGCCTGGAACACAGTGTGACAGGCAGACGGAGGGGCAGGTGAGGGGATGATCATCACCATGTCTGTCTGCGTTTTTACCCAGAATCAAGACAAAGCTCTAGAAGCGGACCTACCGTCCAGCGCCGCCAGCCCGCCGGCGATGACCCGCTTGATGTAGATGCCGAACTCCTCCCCGGTCAGCTCCCTGTAGCCTCCGATCACCTTCACACCTGTCAGCACAAACTGGAGGTTTACAACCAGCCTTTGAGCACCGAGCTGCAGCTGAGCGAAGCCCAGAGGTCGGCGGGTCGGCAAGCTCACCCAGTCCCTTCTTGCAGTCGCAGAACTCGAGCCTCTGGACGGCCCGGTTGATGCCGTGGGGGCCCATGATGGTCCTGCAACACAAACACAGCAGCTCACATCCCGCCTCCTCCTCCCCCGAGCCTCCTGCCGTCTGCCTCCTCGCTGCTCCGCTGCACCAAATAATCAAATCACGGCAGGATTTCGTGGCCGCCCCCCTCCTCCCCTCCTCCCCGCCTCCGCTGCCTCGGCCGACCAATAGGATCCTCCTGAACCAGCGGCGGCGGCGGTGTCACCGCGCGCTGACCTGGATGTCAGAACACGAGCGGCGGCTGGAAAAGGAGCGTTCCTCACAGACGACGGCTCAGACTGGGAGAGAGATCCTGATTCCCAGCATCACTGTTTGTCTCTGAGGAGGCAGCAGAACCAGACGGACCGACAGAACCGGGTCTAGACTAACGGGTTCTAGAGGTTCGGTTGGTTTAACCTCCATCTGAGGCCTCCAACAGGCTGATCAGTGAACATTTATAGATTCTGTTGGACGCTTCAGGATGAACAAGTCATTCCTGCATGTTGTTGTTTACATGTTTACATGTTTACATGTTTACACTCCGGATATGTTTAATTGCTGCTTTTTTTGTTTCCTTTTTAGTTTTGTTGCCAAGGTATATTTTTAACACCCAGAATATTTCTTGAAATTTTTATAAACTATCATTTTGAAGCTGTAAATTTGTATTTTATTGTTTCATCGTTTTCGTGACCTTTGTTTATTAAACGTACAAATCGACACGACGTTCTGGTTCTACATGTTTGGAAACTCATTTGTTTTTTTAACATTTTGAATATTGTTAATTTTTAGATGACATGTTTTATAATTACATTGATTTTACATTTTATTGTACATTTTTACACTTTATTTTGTTTTTTTTTGCATTTTTGCACACTGTAGATTATTTTTTTTTTTTTTTTTTTTACATTTTTCATATTGGTAATTTTTTTTAAATTACATTTATATTTTAAAAAAAATGTACATTGTATATTTTTTCCACACTGATTTATTCTTAAATTTCTTTAAATTAGCTTGTTGGGGTTTTTTTTTTTTCATGTTTTTCTTACAGAATATTTCTTGGCACAACTTTCTTGACATTATTTATTTATTTTTAACTGTATATTTCTATATTACTTTTTTAAATATTGTATTTGTTTAATGTTTTTGCACGCTGCATATTTGTATATTATTTGCTTTACTTTTTACATTGTTGCCGACTGTATATCACATTTTCTTTTAGGATTTTGAATATTGTTAAATTTAGTTTACTTCTTTTTTTTTAATTACTTTTTTTATTTTACATTTTTTACAGAGTATATTTTTAAATGAACTTTTTTTTTTAATTTTATTTTTGTATACGAAATGTTTCCTATTTTTTGCACATTATATATATTTTAACTCTTATTTTGTATTTTTTTAAAAATATTACGCTTGTTTTATGTTTTTGCATGATGCATATTTTTACACTACTTTTTTATTTTTATTTTTTACATTCCACGCTGTATAAATTGCATTTTCTTTATATTTTGGATGCTGTGTGTTTACGTCACTTTTTACATTTTTAAAACTCTTTTTGTTATTTGAAGGGAAAAAAGTAGATTTACAAACAAGAAAAGCTAAATCCCTGTTTTTAATCAGAATATTTCCTTGTTTTCTAACATGTGCCTTCAGACACCCAGATATTCACTTTTTTTTCCTTTTTTTTTTTTTTAAAAGTTTTTAAGTTGACAGCAGCTACATGAAGCCTGCAGCTTTAGGCGACACACGCTATAGACCGAGTTACGTAACGGATAACGATGTACAGCGTCAAGGTCGCTGTGAAGAGGCTTATTGTGAAATAATAACATTATCCATCTTAAGGAACGTCCACATATATAATAAGAATACAGCCTATATGCACGGCGCTGATCCGTAACGCAGCCATCTGGTCCTGGATTGGTGTTTCGTTTACACCTGTGGAGGCCCGAATCTGGATGGTTGTTAGTCTTCTGGCTTTTATATTACATACTGCTGTTCAAAACCACCACGTTCAGGTAAAGTCACACAAAACTGGTCTAAAGCTACTTCAGATGTGTCAAAACCTGTCCAGAATGACCTAATAATCACCAGAAATGACTTAGGATCTGTCCAAAAGACGTAAACCTGTTCAAAATGACTTGTGGGTCAAAATGATTTAAGACATGTATAAAATGACTTAGTAATCACCAGAAATGACTTAGAATCTGTTCAAAACGACCGAAAACGACTTAAGAAGGCTTTAGGTTTACAGAATGTTTACAGGACGCATGTGGTCCAACAGTCTGAACTAAAATAACGTATTTCTGAGAGTCCGTCGCGCGACCTGCACGTTAGAAACGACTCTGAGGGAAGCCGGCGGCTTAAAACGCCAACCGGGTCGAGACGAAGCATCCACAGGTTCTAATCGTCTGGTTAACTTCTCTAAACTCCCACAATGCTCTCTGCTGCCACCATCAGCTGTAGTCTGAGTGGCGCTTCCTCTGGTCTCTACAGGACTAAACAGTGAGAGGCTCCACCTGGTGGAACAACCAGGTACTGCAGCTGGTCTGTGGTTATGTTTACTGACGTCATGACCTTCTTCTTTCTTCTGGGTTGCATTTTTAATCAGTTAAAGTATAAACAGCAGTTAATTGATTAAAGACGAGTCATCAGGAGACCATGTGACACGACACCGTCACGAGTCTTCGTCATGAACTCGTTAAAAATCTGTAAAGAAGAAAAAAAATAACAGCAAAGTAATCGTGTTTTTGGCTGTTTTGATTTTGCAGCCACACATCAGGGAGGAAGTTGTTTGTTAATTAGTAAATTAATTAATAAGCGTGAATTAATCTGTTTTTACTGGCTATTAGCAAACACATAAATAAATCAGAAGAAGTTTTTTAAATTACAGACCAGTTTAAATCCTTAATGTAGATGTTTGGTTTTATTCAAATAACAGCAAATATCTGAAAAATAAAATGATTGTTTTGTGGATTTATAGAAACTGAAACAGTGAATCAGCAGCTTCATGTGAGTTTACTGGTGATGATGTGTGGATTCACAGAACCACAGTCAGCTCTTCAAATATAATATAAGAAATGACGTGAAGCCTGTTGTTCAGGTTTTCTTTCAGCTCGGTTCTTCCTGTTTGGTTTCTCTGGTGGCTGAGCTTCAGATCAGAACAACTGAACCCGGATCAGCGCCGGTCCAAGTGGAGCAGAAGATAATGAGATTACCGTCTGGACTATTTTCACTCGGCATGTCGACACACAATCCTCCGACCCGCAGAGCCTCCACGACGAGCCGCTGATTCGCTGCTTCGTTCGGTTCGTTTGTCGGCGCCAGAAGGCCGACGGCGGCTCTGAGCTAACGAGGCGAGCGCTGGGACACGAGGGAGCAATTAAAGTGATCGCCTAATGCCCCCTAATCTGCCTGCCGCCGCCGATTAGCGTCACCTGCAGCAGCAGCGCCGGGTCCAAATCCCCTCCGGTTTAAAGGTCGGACCGACCGAGCACACCTGAAGGCTCAGGTGTCACGGAACCGAAGCTAGAGCTGCACGGAACCGACGAGTTCTGGGTAGAACCGAGGCAGCGTGCAGCATCTGAACACGGTCACAGCAGAACCTCACAAGCTTCAAGTCTGTCATAACAGACAAACGGTTCTGCTCAGCAGCAGATGTTCCTGCACTCGGCCACAGAAGAACCACCTTTAGTTCCACATAGAACCAGTTCTCAGAAAGTTCTTTAAGGTGCCTCAGAGAACATCCAGACTGAACTGGAGGAACATTTTAACCTCCAGCAGAACACCTGACACGAGCAGCGCCGACCGATCCGCAACGTTCCTGAGAACGTTCTGCGAGGTGGAGCCAATGTTTTCAGTGGCAGGTTTCCTTTTGGTTCCCAGAATGTTCTTCCAAACGGTTGAACAGCTGAAGAGGCGTTCGGTTCATTAGACCGTCACGATCTCAAAACCGAACGTTGCGCTCAGAACGTGGAACATTGTGGGAACGTTTTATAAATTCTAGAAAACTACTCAGAACGTTGTGTTGATAAATCACGTTACGAAGACGTTTTATACGGAACGTTCTGCCATCCGAGAACAGTGCGACCACAATGTTCAATGTTTTCTGCAGAACGTTACATTGTGAGAACGTTTAAAGAACGTTGCGGTGAGAACATCCTTCGTTATTAATGTTCTCTCAACAAAAAAGGCAAAACGTTCTCCGATGGTTTGTTTTATCACGTTACAAAACCATCTGAGAACGTTCTGTGTAAAAAACACTCGACATCGAACGCTGTTTGAGAACGTTCTTTCTAGTGATCGCAGAACGTTGTGAGAACGTTTTCTTTCGACGACATCTTGAGAACATCGCAGGAAGAACGTTTTGTGAGTGAATCACGTTACGAGGACGTTTTATACGGAACGTTCTGCCATCTGAGGCCTAACATCCAAGGCTACATCCAGAAAACATATTTTAAATGTTCTACAGAAAACTCTGCGAAGACGACTTTATTTTTACGTGTTTAGTTTCGTGTTGTCGAGACGCGCGGCGACGTTTTTACGTCAACGAGCTCAGAGACGTTCCACGACAGCTTCGGGGTTTTTATTCAATCAGAAGTCATTCGATCCGCTCGTCCGATATTTTATTGTCTTTATGAGACGCAACGGCGCCGATTTCCGGTTTTTGTTTGTTCGAGCTCCTCAGACATCGTGAGCGAGTCGACGGCTGATTTTAAACGTCTCGTGTTGGACAGCCTCTGATTGGTGGAGCTGAACCTTCACAGCATCTTTAAGGCTCTGAGAGCAGATCGTCCTTCATCTTCAGCCTCATCCGCTCATTACTAACGATGAAGATGAAGACGATGAAGCAGAATAAACGCCGGCCTCTCTCTGTTCTGCAGCTTTTGCCTCTTCAGCGTCTCAGTTTGTGTTTGTGCAGCTTCAGGAGGAAACGTCTGAAGCAGCTCCGTCAGTCTGAACTCCTCGCTGGGAGGATTACTGTTCGGTGTTTGCATATTTAATCTCCTCCTGTCTGCTCGCCGTATGCTCGAGTGTCGGAGTGAAAACCACGAGAGTCTCGGTCGGAACCAGATGTTCTGCAGATGACTGAAGCCGACGGGTCCGACGGGCTCTGGCTGGTTTTTACCGACCGGCTGGAAAACAGAAGCCGCGTCGGGTCAAACCGGACCTCTGGAGGAAGATCGATGGATTCACCCGACGACATAACGTACGACCGAGTGTTTCATCATCTGCTATCCCAGAAAAACGCACATTAAAGGACGAGTCTGGTGTTTTTTAAATTGTCAAAAAGAGACCAAACATGATTCAAGACAGAAAAAAATCCAAAAGACAAAAATCTGACAAACAATTAGGACACAAAGATCAATTAGAGAAAGACAATTACAAAAAAAAGCGGCAAAAAATGTCCAAAAAGACAATAAACATTTTAAAAAATAAGAACTAGAAATTAAAAAGCGGCATCATCTCAACATCCGATGATCAGAAAGACAGAAAAAAATACTAGAAGATAAAATAAAATACTTAAAATAGAAAAAAATAATCAGAAAGAGAAAAAAATTATGTTTAAAAACTACATGAATTTAAATTAAAAAAAATATGTTTAAGATTTCAAAAAAGACACAAAATTATTGAAGAATTATCAGAAAAAAAATCCAAAAGACAAAAAATATTAAATACAAACAATAAATTATAAAAAAGAGACAAAAAAAAAGAACAAAATAATCAAATAGAGACAAAACAAATATCAAAAAGACAATTTAAAACCACTAATATCAGAATATTGATCAGAATTATTGGATTAAAACTTTCCTGAACCTGATCCTCTGTAACGAGCCCAGAGAACCTGGACTCAGCTTTAAACAGAACCAGAACCTCATTACTCATTTAAAAATGCGCCAAAATTAAGGCTTTTGCTTGAATTAAATTCTGGAAAAAAAAAACTAAAAACAAACCAAAGACTTTGTTCTTGGCGATGCGGCCGACCGTCGGGTCGGAAGCGTTCAGGCTGAACCGGCGGCAGCGTGAGGACCCGAGGACAACAGATAAATATCGATCATATGTAGAGGAGTTTGAAAATATGACAATAAACAGGCAGAAAATTATCAAAAAAACATGAAGACAATTATCAGAAAAAAATTGCAGAAAATTATTTTTAAAAATGGCAGAAAATTATACAAAAACAGGCAGATAATTGTTTTAAAAAAAAATAAAATAAAATTATCAGAAGAAATTGCAAAAATTTATTTTAAAAATTGGCAGAAATTTATCCCAAAAAAAATCAGCAGAAAATCAAACAAAAACAGGCAAATAATTGTCAAAAAAAAATAGGCAGAAAATCATCCAAAAAAATTGGCAGAAAATTATCAAAAATATTTGCAGATAATTTTCAAAAAATAGGCAGAAAATTATCAAAAAAAATTAGGCAGAAAATTATCAAAAATTAGGCAGACAATATACCAAGAAACAGGAAGAAATTTGTCCACAAACATGCAGAAAATTATCAAAAAGACGCAGGAAATACCTCAAAACAAATCCAGAAATTATAATAATAAAAAAATGCAGGAAGTAAGTCAAAACAATCACACAGAAAATAAACCAAAAAATACAGAAAATTAGAATAAATAAATAAATAAATAAGTAAAACAATAACAGGCATAAAGTTGTCCAGAAACATGTAGAACCTACGTGTTTGTTTGTTTGTTTGTTTGTTTGTAAGATTTGTGAGCAACAAACTGTCGGACGTGTTGACGTTTGATTTTATAATTAATTTTAAACAAATTAACGATAACGTATAAAATCATCCAAATCCAGACAATCTAAGAAGTTTTGTTTTTCCTGCTTTCCTTCGTTCTAACTGTGACAGAAGACGTCTCTGGGTTCTGCTTCATGTGGTTCTGGTTCTGGAGCATGAGCAAGGAGCTGCTGCTGGAGCTCAGAGGGGAATTTGTAATTTAAAATGAAATAAGACGGATGAGACGATGAGTAGATGTTCTCTCCAGCTTCACTTTGACTTTCTGGTTCACGTCCAGCTGTGTTTGGACCCGTCAGAACACAAGAACAAACTGTTCCTGTTGAACCTGCTGAGTCACATGTGGAGCAGCGGCCGGCGTTTCAAACGTCCTCTGAAGCGTCCGTCACAGCGCGCTTGACCCAGAACGGCATGTGGACTTAAAGTCCGAGACATCTGTCACCATCCGCCGGTAAACCGAGTCCACCTCCCAGGTCTGCGACGCACACGGAGTCGCACCGACGACGAGGAGGAAACACAACCGGCGAGAAACACCCGCAGGAGGCGAGTTTAGGTGTAGTTTCAAAAGAAGGAGGCGAGGAAGGGAGGAAGGGAGGAAGGAGGTGAGGGAGGAGGAGCAGCAGAGGGGAATTAGCCTTACCAGTAGAGCAGAGACAGCCCATCGAAGCGCTCGGCGTCCTGGGGGAGAAATGGCATCGCACGATGGTCGGCAGGAAAAAATAAAAACCACACACACACACACACACACACTCACACACACACACACACACACACACACTCACACACTCGCAGAGCAACAGACGGGATGAGATGAGACAGCGGCGGCGGTTCAAACCGGGTCTGAGGCAGAAGAGAGGGATGAAATCTGCCTCGACAGGGAGGCACACGCTTACCTTTAGCACTAATCCAGGCTGATACCCGTCAGTCACCCTGCAGGCTGCAGCGCTCAGCCGCAAGTTCCCAGGGCGGCCGCTCGGCGCCTCCAGCTGCAGCAT